ACCATACTTTAAGGTTGCTTTCTGAAGTTGAAATATTTGCCCTGTATCCAAAAACTGGGAAAGACTGTCTTGGTTGGGTTAGTTGGACATTATATGAGCTGTTTCTTTGTGGGTTCGGGGCCACATTATGGGGGGAAAAAATGGATAGACTCACTGCCTCCCTAGCAAGCATGTCAACAAATTAGGCCTTTTTTCTTGAAGTCAGGGTGCATCTGAGAGACGAGGAACCAATAGTCTGCATACAAAACATATATGTAAAACTGATATGCACACAACATTCAAGTTCTGGAACAAGATTAACATCCAAAAGTCAACGAACAACCAGAACTAAAGTCTAAAAGAACAGAGTCTAAAGCCGGTGAATGCAAAGAAGATCCAAACTGTCATGTGTTCAAAACTAAATTTGACCTAAAACTGCAGAAAATACTGGCTTGTAGCTTAATTAAATGTTTTTTTTTTGTCCATGCACACTAATAAGCTATTGGTTTTTACATGTTAATTGTACAGTCTTATTATTTCCTTTTTCTGCATTTGTTGAGTCAGTGTGTTTCGCTATTGTCATTTAGTTTTTTTTTCTTTGTTTAGCTGTTCTTTTTGTTTACATTATTATGTGTAGATTTATTTACTCAAGGAAAAAATGGTTAAATATGAATGTATTTAAACAGTTATTTTAATATTCTAGCATCACCACGGACAGGTTGCCCCTATAAATGCTCTGTTTCTGTGCCAGTGGAAATCACAATAAATGTCCCTCACTGTCTCATTTGTAAACTATTTAAAAATGTCAGTCCTAGCAAAATCTTGAAGCTTGCAAATGCAAAATAAGAATGCATAAGGCAGTTTTCAGATGTGCCAGCAGACCAGAATTGCAAATCACTGTTGGAACAAAAAGGTCAGTCGTCAAAGCTGGCTCTGTATCAGCAAAAGTACCTGCCATTCTGAATATAATTGGTGACTGTCATTTTAGTGCACTCAACAGCAAACTTTTGGCACAACAGAAAAGCCTTCCACATGAAATCCACAGCTAACAGTATTGCAACAAGCACTCAGCTCAGTAACTGGGAGACGGACATGGGTGTGCAGTTAAATAACAAGGATACATACAGTATATTGTCATTTATTGCCTCTTGTTGCAGTTTGTGTATTTCAATTTAAAAAAGTAAAGTGTAATATGCACCTGTGATGCAGCGAAATATAGTAAGGTAAAGATCCCTTTTCATGCCTTAAGCGCACATCAGGCACATGGGAAGAGCTCCCATATTTTTACCGGCCAAGCGGCACTGTGTGGGTAATGTTGTCAGCATTACACCAGCCATCTTAACTTCCCTAGGACAGCCATCCTGGTACCCATTTAAGGCTGCTCTGCGACACCCCATACCATGATAAAAATCCACGCAGCCAGCAGTGGGTTTCGATCGCGGTACATTAGAATTACGAGGCGTACTCGCAACATATTGTTTGTGCCCTCATCGCATCTTTCAGCTAAACGACAGTACCAGAAATAAACCGACATCTCTTAGAGCATGAGGCAGATGGTGTCACCACTTTGAAAACATATTTTATGCTGGTTAGGATACAAAGTAAAAATCATGCATTGCTGAGCACTTTTCAAACCAGTAATGTCCTAATTGCTTATAAATGTTTTGTTTACTTGTGTTTGAAAGTTTTTTATATCACATTATTATAATTGTTATATTGCAGCTAATAGTCAATAGTTGCTTTATTTAAATATCTACAGTGGCTTGTATAAATATTTTTTTTAAATTATTATATTCTTTTTAATATATATTGATGTGTTGAATTTAGCTAAGAATTTCATAAGATCAGTGATTAAAATGTTGTGTTTAGTAATTGTATGGTTTTATCATTATTAAAATTATTGTCATGTGGTCGTATATACCACATTCCCACAAAGTGGCATGCATGGCTTCAGAGGTTCCCGGTTACTTTGGTTATTTTTCACCACAGTATGCAGGTGTGTTTAAAAATGAACTGGCAGACAAGTAGTTGGCACAGCACCGCTGAGTGGTTATTTGATGTATGACAAGCCAGATGTGGCCAAGGCCCTTTGGGAGCAAGTGAAAAATACGGAAGTGTGAAGAGAACATCATATGGTGCAGAATGGATGACTAGGAGTGCTGGCCAACACTCAGAGGAAAGGCAAGGCAGATATATATAATATAATAAAACCTCTACTAGTACTATCCGAATTTGAACTACGTGCTGGCTACTAAAATTGCTTTGTTCCACTCCCGTCCTCTGTTGGTTAAGGGCTGTTGGATGTCTTCCTAGCGAACATGGGGTCGTTGATTTATCACATTCTACATGCATATCAATATACAGGATGGCGAAGTGGGAAGCCATTGGTCTCACGCAGTGAAGGTCATAGGTTCATTCCACGGCTGCGCCTTTCAGTTCACGAGTGCAATTGTTATCCTGGGGATAGTCGCTGGAGCTACAGAGTTCGTGCTCTTGTGACCATCTTCACATTGGTCGGCCCCTGCCCCTCCTTCCTAGTACCATGCCTTCTTCTATTATTATTTTTCCAATCCGTTGTGGCGCTTGATATGACCAAAATATTTCAGCTTCCAAGACAGGATGCTGTTAGCCAATCTTCCTTGATGTTCAGATCTTTCAAGATGTCAGTATTTCTCCTCTTCTTTGTCCAAGATAGTCTGAGAACCTTTCTCTAGCGTTTTAGCTCAAAAGCCCCTATTCTCTTCTTAAGGACTGGGAGATACTCACATCCATATTGTAACAACTGAAACAAAATCTCATAACCAAGTAAATCTTTTTCATGAGCTGTATCCAGGGGAGACTTCAGGTTGTTCGCCCACCTCTGGACTCCAGTCTTGTTCAAGAACCTGTGTATTGTTTGCACAGCCATTTTACAGATCTGACAAATTTGTGTTGGTTCCTTGCCTCTCAGGCAGATGCACCCCGACTTTGAAGGAAGCCCCCAAATAGTTGACATTTACGACATGCTTATGGAGTGTGTCTCTTCTTGATTTCCCCACAACTGTGCCCTGGAACCCACAAGGGAAGAAAAAGTAAATCAAAGCCATTTAACTTTGTCAATGTTTATTGCCTCTGGTAAATTGATTCATAAATCTTTATGAAACATACTTCGATGAAATATGTTATGACAAATAATCCCCAACTATTATAATAATATAAATGCATCAAGTGCCATTCACACAGAGCAGGTTAACAGTACTGAATCCCAAACTCTTTCATCTCTCTTTGATGACACTGCTCGATTTCTTGATGTTATTTTCCCACTTGAACCGATACCTATCTCGTGCTAGCCTTCTTCAGCTCCTCCCAGCAAATCAATACAATTTAATTTCATTAACCCATCAAATCCTGCACAGACCAGATGGCTACAATATGCTTAATAATCTGCTTTTTAACAGTTTTATCAAGGCATCTGGTCCCTGCTGGTATTCATTTCCTGTACAGAACCTCACTCTCTCCATGGGGCACGCCTGACAGTCTCTCTTTCTCTGGTCAGATTCCTCAGTGTTGTGCGCCCTCACAATCAATGCATTTTCAATGTCTTGTATCTATCTTCGCATAGGTCAACCTATGCCTCATTTGGGAGCAACCGAAAACGTCAGCTCTCTCTAGACCACTGTAGCGCTGGACAATACCAACAACAAAATATCTCAATTTTGGGGGAAAGATTGCTGTTTATGGGCTAATTCTCCAGTATGTTCGGGTCATGCCGGATGTTGATGTTTTCTTTTTTCTTGGTCCATGATATTCAAAGAATTTTTAGTTCAAAAGCTCAGATTTTTTTCTTTTTTTTTTAAAGACTAAGCAATAGTCCCTGACTCACATCCACTGGCTGCATAATCTCAAAATCTTTATTTTAACCCTCTTTGCAGGTGCTGTGTCGTAGGTTATTCATGCCGTTTAGTTATGCATTGCTAAAGCCTCTTTTTCTGATGTATTTTGTGCAGTCAAAGACATAATATATGGTGTACTTTATGAGGAGCAACTATCCTTTCGTGACAACATATGACAATGGGCTAATAAGATGCAAACGCACAGACTGTGGCATTAACAAGCAAATGGCTCACTTGAAAAAAAAAATGTCATTGAGTTTATTCTGATGAGTCAGATCATACATTTTATGCTCAAAGCATGTCACCCCCACCCACCCCCCTTTTCAAAAACATACACACTACAATATTTCCTTTATACAAAACCAGTTACATATCTCAGTGTCCATCTGTTACCTCTCGTACACATACTTGCATTCATTCACTGTCCTGCTGTGCAGAACTTAGACATAGGACTTAGTCTACTCCTCCAGCCCGTTTTGTCCTGTGCAGTCTCTCTTTGATATCATAGACGTAACACCCTTGGCCTCTCTCAACAACATTCATTTTAGGGTTTCTTTTCTGAAATATCTATTTGATCTATTTATATGCCACTGATATATTTAGTTCTAATTTTACAAACACACATACACAATGTGGTTGGCTGCAATGGATCTTCAACATATTGTCTTTCGTACACTCTTTCAGACTGCCGCTCACTTATCTTTTGCTATTATAACCCTGCAAGCCTTTTGCTTGCTTGTCTTCAGGTGTTCGTCCAGTATAGCTTTTATTAGTATTATGTCTTTAATATGGCCAAGATATTTTTTATTTGTCCCCACGCTCCCCCTTTTTTTAAAATTCCCTTTACTAACTCTACTAGTAGTCTCCTCAAAACCACTGTTTATGACTTTTTTTGCATGCTTGAAATGTGACCACATTCTTTTGTACGCCCACATCTGCAGAGACTTAATTAGTATTTTCCAACTGCTTGTTCATCGTTCAGGTCTCTGCGCTACATGGCAGGACTGAGTTTACATTACATTTGACAATTCTGATACACAGCCAACAATTTTTTGTTAAGAAATAACCAAATCTAGTCTCTATTTCACACACACGTACACTATTCAATTTTACCTGCCCACACATTTGTCTCATACCAAATTTTTATATTTATTTCACATCTCCCATGCTCTTTCCATCACAAGCAACAATTTTAACTTTCTCCACTCTAGCAATCTCTCCCGCCGGCTGTTCTCTGAAGTCGACATTGTTCAGCACAAAAGTCCAGACATTGTCACAGAACCTGTAGGTGTTCAACTTGCCCTGGAAACCGAACATATAAAATGTTAAAGCAAGTGTAAAAAGTACTGCCTGCAGAGATGCTGAAACAAACCTGGTGCACTAGGATAAGGCGCATATTGGTCAAAACCTATCTACACTTGGGACCCAGGGCTAAGAGACAAGGAACCAACATTCTGCATTTAAATAAGCCAGACGTGTAAAACATGCATACAAAACTCAAATTCTGGATCAATACCAAAGTCAAAGAGTGGACAAATAACCAGAACTTTCTGCTGCAGTTTATCGCTGTCAACACCAAGAAGATGATGCTCTAGTTAATTGTGTGAACGTGGATAATGACTTAAATAACTAATAAACGCCATATATTCATTGCCCGGCACCACAATGTTTGGGAATACATCAGTAGGACAAATACAAAATGTAGGGCTTTTAGAGAGACCATCAAGAATGTTTTCTTGTCTTTCTCTTCCATAAATCTTTCCAGTTAGCACAACATGCTTCAACATAATTTGCCTGTCCTCGTAATGTGACCCAATCCCACCCACCTGCTCCCACATCTGCCTGTTTCTGGTGTGCTGACTCTGGGACTTGTGACTGTCCAGGGAATTGTTTTAAGCATTTTTCTGTAAAACATATCTGAGGCCCAGTTTGAAGGGGAAAACAAGAACATCTCAGTGTATGCAATCTTTTTAGGCCTCCTCCAACTGTGATCAGGGGCCCTAATTATAACCATAAGGGTTTAATGGGTTTATGGGATCTGTCTTCAGATGATCCTCATCCAAATATTGGCAGTGTGTGTCAGCAGGTGTTTATCTCTCTGTGTGATGTCCTGGTGGGGTCAAACATCAGTTATCTCTGAGGGCTTAAAAAATGTTCATCTTCTTGACTAATTGTGATTTGGGGGGTGCAAATGGAGTTTATAATTCCGAAATATCTGATTTCATTCAGGTAATTTTACAGCAGACTGCTTTCAGCAATGGCATCAAGAGCCAACAGTTCAGTAGCAATGACAAACTACTTAGCATAAAACTGCTTAGTAAAAAGTCAACAAAGGCTGGGACCAGTTTGTAAGGTCATTTAAAAGATACACTGATTGTCTTTTCCACAAATTGTCCAACCATATGTTAACTGGTTCTGTTTTCTCTGTTAGCCTTTAAAGATGCAGCTGACATGTTGTGGTTTACAGCTAGGCTGTGATATATGTGCCTTTCAGCACAACATATCTGATTTCAGCAAGTCTTTAATTAGTCACCTTTTATGACAGTGGTAGGTCTAGTCTATTCTTATGGGGAACCAGAACTTACATGGGATGGCTACATAACATGCGACCAGTAAACTTGCATGACTTGTCTAAGGTTGTCATAACACTTGGGAGGTATTGCCGGAGTCAGATACCTGTCACTGTAGACACCAAGATTAGGGCACTTACCGATCAGTATTTACACCCAGAAGACCTCGTCCTTTAGAGACAGGTCAGTGAAGCATGGGTCAAGCAAGATCAGCATGGGCATACACAGCACAAAGGATGGGAAAAACAATAAAAGAGGATAGCGGCACTTACCAGACAATGAATTCAAGCATGACGATGGAGATAAATGCTGTTTCCAGGGCACTTATTTTTACATTTCAGAAAAAGTGGTAATACTTGCGGTAATCGTGTCAGACTTTATAAACATGCTTTAGAAAATCGCGACAGGTAGTCTACGCTCTGAATGGGTAGAAAGCATTCGGAAGTCATAGTTAACCTCCATCATTTCAATCTACACACCTGAGCATGCAGGAGTGAATGGTAATGAAAGAGCTGGCAAGTAATGCACCAATGCAAGTGGGAAGAAGCACGGATAGAGCTGATGTCATCAACACTATACAGACTATGTTGTGGGATAATGGCCAATCTCTTATGCTAATATGACAGCGTGACCTAGGAGTTAAGCTTGGTAAAACATGACTATTTCACCTTCGAGGTAAAGACAAGAGATATGATAACCAACTCCTTATGGGGACAATCAGTAGGGGTACATTGGAGTGGCTGCTGCGTTGGAGGACTGAATTGGCATAGGGGTGCCCAATGTGCAAAGATGCTGACTGTGATAACATAACATGCAAGAATTCATTTTTCTAAGCTCTAATTACATGAATTTCTTGCATAAATCATAAATATATCTTACCTTAAATGTGACCTTTGACTTAACTCTACTAGCCAACGCCTGGTTGATGGCCTTATCAAACTGCAAGAGGACCTTCAGAGCAAGCTGTGGTGAGATTTGCCCCATCTGAGGGAAAAAAAATCGGAAAACAAAATTACCAAAGAGACATCTAACTCCTAGTCATAATCAAGGTTTTAACTTCACTGCAATCAGAAAGGATGAGAGTTGAGCGTCTGAAAAGAAATGGATTAAACACAAATGTTGACAACAATGGTCCTGAAATCCCATGCTATCATTGTGGAAGACTTTTCTTGACACGGGCGGGTCTTGCTAGTCACACTCGCCATCGCCATGGGCTGTGCGTCTCATGCCTCCTTATAGCGCAATATAATACTATCGTCTGGAAAGACGGAAAGGTGCCAATGATGGAGTCAGACCACTAGATACCTTTTTAATTCCTGTACCAGTGAAAATCAAATGTCCCTCACTGTCCCTTTGAAAAATTGGTGAACAAACAAAATGTTCTGGCACAATCCACAAATATGCGCACAAAGTAAATCCATAAAGTAGTTACTTGAGATGCTAAAGCCCACAGCCACCACCAGTTTGTCACTGATGGAAGTAGTCAGACAGTACACAATAAGTTGGCTATACAGAAGAAATATAATTTTGCCAACCCACAGGTAAACTGGCTACTACCAGCCACATTGAATACCACATGAAAAGCATAGCTCAGTGCAGCACTATGCACTTAAATCAGCAGGCGAGGCAGCAAAACCGTGAACTTCCATCTATATGTGCAAACTGCATTAGCAAAGCGCTACGAGAAACGAAAATAACCTCAAAGCTGTTTAAATTTAAGCTAAACATTCTGCCACACTTAGTCCATAACTCTATGCTATCTCAGTATCTGTTGTGCCATAATTTTATGTCCTATAGAGCTCTAACAGAAATGATTCCTCCATTCTGTTCTATCATTGTGCAGTCCCTTTGATGCATATGGCTTCTTTCCTCAGAGTTAATGTAGCAATTTGTATTGGGGGGGGGGGGGGGGGGGGGGGGCGTCCGCTTGGTCTCATGCCCAACCTTTCTTTTACTTTTTCATGATAATCCAGGCTTGCAACAGACAATGATGGAGATTCAATATAAAATAACTTCATAAAAATTAATAAATAAATGGACAGAAGTAAAGTAAAGCATTGGGTTAGACCATGCTTTTAATATAAATGAATTAAATGTATACTATACTAACTCATGTTCATTGCTTGCAAACATTTAGCTAAGCATTTTATTTATAAATATTTTTTTTTTTGCTCTCCTTTAAAAAACGATCCCAAATGATCTACGCAGAAAGTGAACCCTAACAGAGCCTCATTACGCCCTGCCATACAAACATTTAAAAGATGTAACTCGGAAAAAATTAAATACTAATACTTTATATGTGAAAATTGTAGCACAGAAGTTGCAAATAGTGCGCAAATATCTATTCCGTCTTGCTGTCCGCCATTGTAACTCAGCACGGCTTGTCCACAATTTTCGTTCCGGACGAGACATGATGTAAATGTGCGGTTTAATGTACGCGCATGTCGCCTCGGGACAACTTCAAACCAGCAGCCGCCACGATGGTGCTCCACTATCCTGACCACCACTTGACCGTGGCGAATGCGAGCACGCTGGTACTTCCGACAGAAGAAGTAGCTCCTGTAAATTGTAGACTTTTTTCCCGGCCACTATAGTGCCACCTCCGAGAGTATCCCCCGCGCCGCGCATAGCAGGCTAAACTAGATGGCTGGGACTCATGAGCAAATACATTGGAGGAAGCTGCAGGAGCTGCGGTAGCTGCTGCACGTGAGTCCTAGCCATCTAGTTTAACCCCTTCCGCGCCGCACGTAGCGGCGCGGAAGATACTCTCGGAGGTGGCAATATAGTCGGCGAACAGTGGTCCGCAACTTACATATAACTCGGGCCCTGCCGTAGGATAGCGCTATCGGGAGTATTCTTGCGTGTCGCTAATTTTTTGTGTCCGTAGTTAATCCTAGTTTTCCCCGCCGTAATATGTTGTGCACAATTAATCCTACTTTTGACACAGTTGATTCGCCAAAAGAAATGCAAATTTTAGATATGAGTGAGGCTCTGTTTGGGTTCCCTTTCTGCGTAGATAATTTGGGACCGTTATTCAAAGAAAAGCTTTTTTTTTTTTTACTTTACTGTAAACTTTACAGTCAGCTCTTATTAGTTTTAATCTGAAATCTGTCCGACATTGTATAATTTATAATAGCGGGTGTTTTTTCTTCTTCTTCTTCTGCGTTTGACATCAGTCATGCTACACACTGAGTCCCGTCTGGATCAAAAATAGGATTGTGCGTTTGAGGTCGCCACCGGTCCCCCATAGCTTCTCTCGCAATGTGGATCCCCTGGGCGAGATCCAGTCTTTGCTGGGAGAGGTAAGGGCAGTACTGCAGTATGTGCTCAGGGGTCTGTCTTTCTGCTCCACAATCACAGGCAGCAGATTCTTTTATGCCTATCCTGTACAGGTGTGCTCGAAGACCACAGTGTCATGTGTCCTGTCCGAAGTCTAAAAATTGATGTTTGTTCTTTCCTGTTGAGTTTGTTTATGCTGTCACTCTCTGGTCTGTAATCTCTATTCTGCTTTCTCCACTCCCGCTTGACAGACTGCTTTAGTTTCCTTGTAGCTGTGTGGTGGATGAGGTTGTGGAAGATTACTCTCAGCTTTTGCCAACTCTTACTCATCTGCTCTCTCATTTCCTTGAATACCACAGTGGGCTGGTATCCACTGCAAGACCAGTTCTGCTTCCTTGGAGAGTAAGCCAATGTTGGTCCTTAGATTTGCAATTAGTTTATCTTGTTTTTTGCTTGATACTGCTTGGAGAACAGACAATGAGTCACCAAGTATAACAATTTTGTGCCCTCTGTGTTCTTGAGTGATGAGATGTTGGACTGCAGAAAGGAGGGCAGTTGCCTCAGCTCTGAAGTTACTTACTTAGTGCAGATGTCACCTGCTGGTAGAGAGAGAGTTTCTGCTCTACTGCTAGGGCTGGGGGGTTTAATGTATATTTATATTCCACAACCCCCCTTTTTGACTGCATCTATAGCAGAGCCGTCGGTGAAAACCTGAGTCCAAGTGGTGTTTGGATACTTCTCATCAAGCATAGCAATAGCCATGGTTCTCTGTTGTGTCTCCGTCTGGGCATCTTTTGAAGTGATCCCTGGTAGGTATATATATATATATATATATATATATATATATATATATATATATATATATATATATATATATATATATATATTTATAGTATAATATAGCGGGTGTGCTTATGTTGACCCACAGAGAGCCCCATCTCATCTGATCAACAAAATATAGGTCTAGCCCTACATGCATACAGTCCAATACGCTTGAAAATTGAAAGCGTGAGTGTGACAAGACATTCAGGCGAGCCGACATTCTTTTATTTACATTTCTCAACGAAGAAGAGACTGAGCGATGCATCAAATGCATGCTGCAGGACTGGAAAGGGGGGAAAAGCTGTCATTAAATATTATTCTTACCTGAATTAACTCATCCAAACTTTCTTGCAACGTATGCCCTAAAGTAGTGTTCCTGTACAACTGGTAGCTCATGTTTTAACAATGAATGATCGATCAAACAAACGGTAGATGACTTCCTTAGACCTTAGTAGTGGTTAGATAGGTTCCAGCGGAAGTGGCTTCATTATAAACATATGTTGAGAGTCACTTCCCCTTCCACCAGGTTATCTATAGAAGTGACGTCATTTTAAGTCAGGTAACACCCACAGTTGATAAAAACAGGGGTGACTACGACTGCAGTCAAGCTAATGCTAAGAAATGAATGTTTTATGTCGAGAAGGGCTCTGACCGAAACGTCTTTTTTGTTGTTGTTATGTCTATGTACATTTTTTCCCTACTCCTTTCGTTAAGATTCTGAGTCAAATTTAGTGGATTAATTTCTTTGAACCACATGTGTACAATTATATATTTATAAAACATACACATCTGCACGCTGACTTGGGAATGCACGTATACCTGTTTGCACGCACACACACACATATCTATATATATTTTTATGTGTGTGTATATATATATATATATATATATAATATATATATATATATATATATATACACACACACACACTCAAGAGAGCTGCCTTGGTGAAGCGGCCAGACGCTCGCCTGTGGATCAGAAGGCCACAAGTTCATCCCGACGGAGCCGGCCGCCCTACTTCCTCCCACACTGTCAATGACCTAAGCCCTCAGGTTGACCCAGACTTACATGGGTACCAGTGTTGTATATGATAGATCGAATGCCTATAGTTGTGCCCATTTCGTATTACTTGCGCCCTGGCTGCTAGTTTGGATCTTTGGTTTGTATATGTGACAGTTTCTCAATATCCACTGATATAAGGGGATAGTCAGTCGTGGCCAGTTTAGGCTGTTTCACACAATTTAATTCCTTCTCTTTTTCTTTTTACCTTTCTCAATTGCTTTTTTCTTACCTCACTGTGTCTGTCTTCTTATAACTTTGTATATAGAGAAATTTATTTTTATGTGTCCTACAAATACATTTTTTTTTACGTATCTGTATGTTGTCATTCAACTTCTCACAAACGTCAGAAAGAGACAGTCATCCTTTTTTTTTGGGGTCACGTTATGAGAGAGGGAAAATGGAACATATTGTGACCACTAGAAAGATCTATGGAAAGAGAGACAGAGGAAGACAGCGTGAGAAGATTCTTGACAGTCTTTTGTCATGGAAGGGAGGGGTGTCAACACACAAAGTGATACACGCAACTGCAGATTGTGGAGGGACATGATCGCCCACGCCAGGCGGCAAGGCACTTGATGATGATGTTCTCCTTACTTCAGCATGTAAGCATTCCTTGGATGCCAGTGACTTATTTAGTTTATGAAAATATTCTTCCAGTGGTTTTGGTTCCTATTCATACAGGGTGCGTGTTAGTAGGAAGTGGTCTAGGGTGTTTTCATGAAAGGAGTCTAAGCTTAAGGTGCTGTAAATTTGGCTTTCCAGTATCCAAGTCCTAATTTCCATAATTTGTTATTTGCTGAATGTTTTGGTTGTCTGAGACTTCTGACGTCAGTGCGGTTCTCTCGAGCATTCTGCCCGTAGCACTCGCAACAGCGTGTCCACATCACTGCTAAGAATGAGAGGCACACCGGGTGCAAAAAAAGTTTTATTAACCAGCAACGGATTGGCTTTATTAACCGCGGGACGCTGATGTATTATTTGCATGATAAATCTCAGACATATGGTTAAAGTCGAGAGGATTAACTTCATTCTGGTTTTATCCTATATGGATCGGTCTTTCTCTGCAGAACGGCTAGCCGAGAGCGCCGCACAGGGCACTAACTTCATAGATCCGGCGACGATCCCTAGGAATCTCCCTACAATTTGCAATCATGAACTGAACGAGGCAATCGTGAAATAAGCGCAAGGCAAATGGCTTGACTACTTCGCAAAGGAGACAGTACGTATGGACTTGTCCGAAGTGTTATGAAGATAACCCAGCACGTAAATAAACTTTTAGACGTTGATACGCAAGGTAAATTTTTTTTAAAGGCGATTGTACTCACCATAAAATGGTTATTACAGTAGTGCTGGACAAAAAATGTCTAAAATAATTTTTTTTTAAACTACCGCTACTGCATACCGACTAATGTAGGTTTGGAAACAGTAACTGAGTTTACTTACCTGGGAAGCAATATCTCATTGGTTGAAGATATAGTGGTTGAAATCATGCAGAGAACTGCAAAGACAAATGGTGCTTGCAATAAACTTCAGAGTGTCTGGAGATCAACCATCTACAGCACTAAAACTAAACGCAGGATATACAAAAGATGTGTTAGGACAGTTTTCCTCTATTGAGCAGAAACTTGGAAGACAAGACAGACAGATTTGTTCTGTCTTATGTGCCTCTGGGCGCGATGAAGATTAATTGACTGCATACCGACAGGAAAGCAAACTTTAAGTATATATAATATGTGACGAAATACATACAGTGGTGCAGTGGTTGACTGCATACCGACAGGAAAACAACCTTTAAGTATATATAATATGTGACAAAAATTTATTTAACAAAACTATAACATTTTTTTAAAGAATATTTTAGCCCACACATTATTGGGGAGGAAAAACAAGAACGTGCAGTAGAACATTATACACAACAATGAAAAGGAGACAAGTTCTTTGGTTATGTGATGAGAAAAACAGTAGTGGAAAATTTCATGACGACAGAAAGGATCACTGGTAGAAGATGCAGGTTCAGACCAAAAGAAATGATGGTGGAGGCTTAAGATAGTGGCATGGAGGAATATCATCAGTGGAACTATTCTATTAAATACAATCTCAACGCGTGTGTGTTACTGTATATTCTATATTTAGGAGTACACAGATCAGCAGTCAAAGATGAAAGGAATTCACCACATCAGCACCTGCGCAATTGTAAATTATAAATTAGTAAATCTAAGGCCCCATGCAGCAATTTGTGTTGATCAGAATAGTTCGAACGTGTAAGTGTTAGCATGCAACAATTCGGAAATCGCACTTAACTTCTGTAACCTGGATCTACACACCGGGTCATGCGGGCGTAAAGGGAAATGAGCGAGCGGACCAACTGGCAAGCACAGCACTAATGATTGCGGGAAAAAGCATGGACAGAGCAGATATCGTTAACGCTGTACGTACTGGGCTAGTGGATAATATCGAATCCCTGACACTAACACGATTGCGTGACATGGGAGTTAAGCATGATGAAGCACGTCTTTGCCGTCTGCGAGGCCGAGAAAGGAGACAATATAACCAGCTTCTCATGGGGACAATTAGTAGAAGTACTTTGGAGTGGCTGCTGCTTCGGAGGACTGCGCACGCATGGGTATGCCCAATGTGCAGTGACGTCGATTGTGATAACAAAACACAAAATAACAGTTTGTAGGAAGTCGGCATTCCGAAACCCAAGTTCAAGGTGTCTCCTTCGTGCCAAAGAACTGCATGACTGTTGGGTGAACAGTCGTTAACGAAGGCAGTCAGGTCGTTGTAGGGGCGACGCCTGCTGGTGGATGTAATGTCCTAAGTCCCTTTCCCAGCTAATAGTGAGGGTACTGCTGGGGTGACCATTTGTTAACCCCTCACATAATGCTTCAAGTCACAGTGGACGCTAGGCACGGCCATTTTATTTTTATTTTTTTTTATTTTTTTTTAATTTTTTTTTTAAAGCCGTGGCAGTTCTGCCAGGCGGTGGCCGTTGCATTTTTGCTCCATTTGTAGACTGGAAGGATATAGTTTCGTCACCCAGCTTCTGAGTTGAGTGCATGGTGTGACACTGTGAGCTACGAGTGTTTTTCGTTGGCACAGGAGCGGAGCAACAATGGGGTGACCCGTTTGCTATGATGCTGAAACTAGGATTACCAGATTACCAGATGCAACAATTACACTGGAGATGGTATTGCGTCTTTTTCTTCTTTGCGTTCACCGGCTGTAAACTCAGGTGGGAGGTTCTGGTTTGTCATCCACTTCTATATTATTCTCCTCCTCGTTGCTTAGATATTGCGAATATACACGCGCAGCTAGCACATCAGTACACGTAACTGGTAGCTTCCATATGCTACAATTTCTGCATCAGTGGTGCGGTGGTTGTTTCTCACTATGTTAGAGAAGACGTAAACGGAGTGGCATATTTGTAATACAGTAACCAGCAATAATAAATATGATAATAAATTTTATTTGGCAATGCACAGTGTAAGCCATGATTACAGCCGTTACATCCACGCCTCGCTGCTGGTAGAAGGAGGAAGAAGAGGAGGAGAAGAAGATAAAAAGAAGAGGAAGGAGAAGTAGAAGAAAAGAAGAAGAAAAAAAGGAGGAAAAAGACTTAAAAAGAAGAGGAAGAAGAAGAAGAGGAAAAAGAGGAGGAAGAAGAAGAAGAAGAAAAGGAAAAAGAGGAGGAAGAAGAAGAAAAAGAAAGAAGAAGGAGGAGAAGAAGAAAAAGAAGAAGAAGAAGAGGAAGAAGACGAAGAAAAAGAAGAGAAGAAGAAAGAAGACTTAAAAAGAAGATGAAGAAGAAGAAAAAGAAGAAGGGGAGGAAGTAGAAGAAGAAAAAGAAGAAGAAGGAGAGGAAGAAAAGGAAGAAGAGGAAGAAGAAGAAGAGAAAAATTATAAACAAGAATGTGATTGATCAACCTCCGTCTGGAACTGTTGTGAGTGGTTCGTCAAGGAGTTCGTCGAAGGAATAAAGAGGATGAGAAGGAGAAGCAGAGGAAGATTGAACGCATTCCTGGATCACGCCGGCCGCATTTATTTCCCAGGACTGTACCTGGTACCCACTCAAGCTGGGTCGACCTGGGAGTCAAGGTCATTTTTGAAACGGGCCCGGATCCGTCAGGACGCGAACCTTCGTATCCGCAGGCGGGTCTAACCGCCAACGCCACGGCGAATCCCCAATCCAAGGAGTGAGAAAGGCAAAATTATCAGGATGAGGAGAAGAGGAGAAAAATATTGAACTGATACCTCGCCATAGAACTATATACAGAATGTGCTCTAGCACTCAAGGCCAGTCTAGGTCTGGGACTGCTGTGAGTGGTTCATTA